TCCTCCCTCCTTCCTGCTGCATGTCACGCAGAGCGAAGGTTTAACAACTGTAGTTTTTCACACCTAATTGTCGGAGAAAAAAATGTTTTTTTTAGGGTGCAACGATACAGAAAATTCACGATTCGGTTCGATACTTTAGTCTCACGGTTTGATATTTTTTCGAAACAAAAAGAGAAATTTCCATGCCCCTTTTAACTTGTAATTAATTTAAATTAATTATAAACATTTATTTAACCTCAAAAGTACAGTTTCTAAATTAAATGTTGCTGAAACAGCGAGTTTCTCAGTGGATCTGTGCTCCACAGAGCAGCCTAGGTGGAGTAGTCGAACACAGATCCACTGATCCTTCAACACAGAGCATCTTCAGAAGACAAGTTGATAAAATAAATGTTAAAAATCTGTATTGTTCCATACATAGTGTGTGTTGAACCTAAAGTACAGTTCAATACGGTTCTATACGGGTACATGTACTGTTGCACCCCTAGTTTTTATGTATTGTTACCCACAGAGATTATTTAAAAAAAGACGTGGAAGTCTGTTCAGTCATAAATCCATCTTGCTAATGTAAAGTCGGCTTCTGCTCTGATGACCAAGATGATGAAGATGATGAAGATGAGCACGCAGCAGAGCAGCAGCTGATAAGTTCAGCAGGTGGAAGCTCATTGTTTGGCAGGCAGAGCAGATATTAAAGCAAAAATGTTGGGTTTAATTAAGATTACAGTTTTCTGCAAAAAAAATGCTCTAAAAATTACATTATCTTTACTTTTTAAAAGTTTTTTACCGCGGTATCTACAGTAACTGTGAAGGGGTTCAATTTATACCGTGATATGAATTTGAGGTCATACCGCCCAGCCCTCCCTGAATCATTTTATAAGAGTAAATGACTCAATAGATAAATAAACAGGCAGATATTATACCCCCCCCCCCCCCCCCCATTGGTAGACCTAAAGTTATATTAAAGTCCATCCCAACAACTTCTAAACTAAATGTAGAAGTGGCACCTCGGTTCCTTTGGCTTCTTCAGTACCAGCTCAGAGTCAGTCCAGCAACAAGCATTTGAAACAAGAGCAAGACCAGATAATATTCTTTAAAACATATTTTAATAAAAACCAAAATTAACATGTTAAAACTCGATCAAAAAACTGTTGCTTCCTGCATGTCTGACTCTTCAACTAGCTTATCCCGCTGCGGGACAATAAAGACTATTTCTATTATGCACTGAAAAAAAAAAAACAGCTAAATAATAAACTACAGTGCAGGCAGCCCAAAACACAAAGCATGCATTTAAATTTCACATATTTATATTCTATGCATTTTACATAACAGTGTTTGTAAATTTACAGGAAATTACAATTTTAACAACAAAAGTATATATTTTTCTTTTTAAAACCTTTTTACTAACAATGAAGTACCTATCGCTTACACTAAATAAACACAAAAAAGTCCAGTTTTTGCTTCTGTACCAATAAAGTTCTGTCC